GAGAGGAAGGAAGCAAGGAAGCAAGGAAGCAAGGAAGAAATTGAGCAAGGAAGCAAGGAAGTAAGTTAAGAAGTGAGCAAGGAAGGAAAGAAGAAAGGAACGAGCGGACAAGCAAGTGACAAGGAACTGAAGGAAGGAACTTAAATTAAAGAGAAAACAAAGAAACTACTTCAGGTTGAATTTAGTGAGAAATCCTTACTGCATAATTCCTCGCATCCCACTAATAAGGTAATTTACCTATAACACAACAATCATTGACTTTCCTCAATCCTTTTATCACATTTTTAACGACATTCTTCTTGTCGATAGTAACCTGATCCTCGGTTACCTTGGTTGTTGCCTAGCAACATGGTGGATATATAACGAGCAGTATAACTGGTGTATCCACAGGGAGGATACGTTCAAGTTATTCAACCGAACAGGCCGATAAAAAGTAAGTCTTGAAACTGTTCTTCCGAGTATAGTATCTGTTCCATTCCATTCTTATTTTCATCCTCCTTTCCTTGAAAAGCTTAGCTCGTTCCTTCCTTTTCTTTCTACGTTTTTTTCTTTCTTTTCTTTATCTTGCCGTTCATTTTTTCTTTTCTTCCGCTCATTCCTTACCTTCATCCATTCCTCCCCCAACTCTTGAGAATAAGATTCTTAACTTCAGCTCTATTTGTAGCCATTTGTGTGATCAGTGCATCCAGGTATTCCAATCTTGATTTTGCTTTATTTTCTGAAAGTATGAACATCTTTTAAATCTAATTCAACTAGTGCATCCAGTGATTCAAAACTAACTCTTAGAAATAAGATTCTATCTATTAAGTGATCAATGCATCCAGCTATTCAAATTTTGATTTTGATTTTTTTGCTAATAGTATGAGTCTATTATTTACAGTGATGGTCGCTTACGCTTTGATTATCGTGTTTACAGCTCAGTTCTTCCAGTTAACTCAAGTAAATGGTAAACTTTACTTTAAGCTACACTTGGTGCTAGCCAATGTGAACAAGGCCGACTTCCTGACATGTCTTTTGTCTCGTTATAGCATACACGTATGAGAAGTGCTCGCCTGCATGGAACAAGAAAGGCTGTAAGACAGACTTTCATCGCAATTTGAGCATCCTCATTGATGACAGAAGGGAAGACGCTAAGGTCAAGATTGACTGGTATAACGTCCAGGAATACGTTTACGAGTAGGTATACTTGATTCGCCGAAGTGACCGATCGAACGATTTTAGACTAGGGATATAACGTTTTCAAAAAATGGGAGGGGGGAGGGGGGAGGGGGGAGAGGGGATATGATCTAATAATATTATCTAATAATATGATCTAATGATATGATCTAATGATATGATCTAATAATATGATCTAATTATATGATCTAATAATATGATCTAATAATATGATCTAATAATATGATCTAATAATATGATCTAATAATATGATCTAATAATATGATCCAATAATATGATCTAATAATATGATATAATATATGCTCTTATAATATGATCTAATAACGTGATCATGAGCCCTGTGTTCAACGGTATAGGCGTTCGTACCGTGACCATGCCGCATTCTTTTTCGTAACTATATTCCTATTGGCCGTTACGAGGTCGACGAAAAAACTGGGTCGAGTTGAAATTGCAGTGCATTGTGGGGCTGGCGTCTATCTTTTGTCCGGCTAAACAAGCCATCCCAGTTTGTCCCTTAACATCGGAACGGCTTGTAGGTGCATAAGTAAAGGTAATAGGACTAATGGTATCCAAATTGCATTGGAAATATTTTAATGAAAAAATCAGGACTGAGGGATTGGACTGGACATCGATTGACTGGATCATGGATTTTAAAAAAACCTTTTTGTCAGATTTTCAGCTTTTGAATGGGAAAGGATAATCTTAATCTATAGTAAAGACATGTCCAACCTCTAAAATTTGATTTATGCCTCTGGATTCTGAAATTTTGGACTTTTTTTTAATTTGGAAAATCCGGAACTGAGCATAGCTGGACTGGACTGGACGTCAAATAAGTGGATCTTCGGATCGTAAAACATTTTCTATTCCCAATTTGCAACTTTAATCCTATGAATTTTATTCCTATATCGATAACTAGTAATTTCGTGCTAAGATTGAGCCTAAAGAAATAAAAGTCAAAAAATTCTCATAATTTGAAAATATTATATTGGATCTTAGATCGAAAAACAAAATTTGGTTTCTCCTCCCCTGTATCCGCCCGCGTCCCTATAGAGCGACCTGGTGAACAAGAATTTGAGCGACTGCCCGAACTCTTCCAGCAACCAACCAACCAATTAACCGAGTGGGATGGGCGGTGGCATAAACGAACCATTGAACAACAGATGAACGAACAAACTATTGTAAAACGAAGGAACGCGCGGGCCGAAAAATGGACAAACTATAGAATAATCGAGCTAGCGAATGAATGATTTAAAGAGTAAATGATCGAAGAGAGGGATGGGCGAAAGAACAAACGCACAGAAGAACAAAATGTTGTTCTTAAAACTAAAACGATCCACTAACTAGTTACGATTCTGTTCAGTCTAGCGTGTCGATGTCGAGCCAAGTCTTTGTTCTTGGGCTTCACCTGGTTTGCTGTTATGAACCTTGGTCTGTGTGTCTCGACAGCAGGACCACTGGATACTTACTTGTCCAAGTAAGTATGTACTGTAGTTATAAGGGTATCGATGGTGCTAGGTCTCAGCTGATAAGAGTTTTTGAATCTTAACATTATCTAGTCGTCAAACACGGACTAACACGTGCTGTCAACCAGAAACAATTCTATTGAAAACTTGTGGTTCAGCTGTTCAACATTCTGCACGAGACAGCAATTAATGACATCAAGTGAAGTAAGAGAATATGTTAGGGCACGGGGATAGCTTGGTGATTACAAAGTTTTAGGGGTGGGGGAGGGGGTGCGGTAAGGGTTAGGCTCCGTCGCAACTCTATTCACAGAACCGATCAGAACCCGAGTAGACATGTTCAGAGATGGCACATTAGCAGCGCACACAACCCGTGCTTTCCGAACACCTGAGGAGCCATTTTAATTATAAAATTTGAAATGTATAACCTACTGATTCTGATGTACGTGTGTGTGTTTTATAGTCATCCACTTGACCCCCCTGCCAGCTGCACAGGAGACGTCAAGTACACAACGTATTTGAACAGTGAGGAAAATGGAGAGCGTTGTCTTGGTGGGCAGTATCGAGCCTTCTTTTACCAGGTACACATGCTGATATTTTCTAAAGCAATAAGCAGAGTTATGTCTAATTAATTCTCTTTAAACACCTTGTAAAAATGCTCTAGATTATACAAAACCTTGGTTCTGCTCCGGCTGGTGGCTCGGCTCCCGCTTCCGGTTCCCAAGAGGAAGTTAGTGAAAGTTCTTCTTCTGGCTCAGAACAAAAAACCGGTGCAGCTCCTGCTTCCGGTTCAGAGGAGGAAGTTAGTGGAAGTTCTTCTTCTGGCTCAGAAC